TGTATACCTAATAAAAATGCAAAGTAATTATATTGATCTTGTTATGTTTCCCCCCTTTTAGATCACAAAGAAGCAGTGTTGTTGGAGTGGAGCTCTTCGACTGGGATTTACATCCAAGGATCCCTCTAGAATTAATCCAGAAACTCTGCCCAAGTATGCATGCCCAGATCTGGTTTCTCAAACTGGATTTTGGGCAAAGGCCCTTCCAGAAGAATTTGCAAATGAGGGAAATATCATAGCATTCTGGGTGGATAAAAAGGGACGTGTATTTTATCGTGTTAATGATTCTGCTGCAATGTTGTTCTTCAATGGGGTAAGGACAACTGAACCATTGTGGGCTTTGATTGATGTCTATGGACTCACTCGTGGAGTGCAACTATTAGGTAGGTACATATCTGAAAAAATATGGCATTGTTATGAGTTGCTACAGTGTGTCCTTGAATTCTTGAAAAAAAATACTTTTAATTCTTGCCTTCTCTGAATTAGTAATGACTCTCCAGTGGCTGAACAACAGAATCAGGCCATTTCTAGTAATGTGAGTTTCTGAAAGAGTATAGCTATCCATGCATTTTTATCTCTTGATTTTTTTTTCCTAACTCCATCTCCTGTTATGCTTATCTTCTAGTCACTGTTTCTTGTTCTTGTTCCAAAGGTCAAGAAGATTAAGAGCAATAGAGTAAGAGTGTCAGTACATTTTAAAATTGTTTGTTTTGGGCATAAACTGTTAATGAGCTAAGGACTCAGCTGGCCTGATAAACGTTATAGAGAGTTATTGCAGGCTTTTTGTATTTTATTGTCATTTTGACTTTTTAATCTGTGCCAAGCCACTTCCATATGGTACATATGGAGTATGTCCCTGATTGGACTATTACCTCAGAATTGGAGGTGAAAGCTTTTAACTTAAGTGACTAAAAACTGTAAAATGGTAGGTAGCTCAATAATAGAAAAATACTGTGTGTGTTTGTGTGTATGTGTTTGTGTATGAAACAATTTGTGTCAAATTTCTAAATAGGATATTCTGCATGTCAAACAAATAACTGCCAAGGCATTCAGAAGCTTCATCAGGCCATCTTGAAGGAAAGAAGGAAAGATGGAGAAATGAGATAAGATTGTTTCTGTCTTTGTGCAGTAGCTAATCAAACTAAAGTGGGTTGCCTAAAACAATGTAAAACACAGCATGCAAACTGGACCACAGCATTTGAGCCAGCATAAGCCAGAAAGCATTATTGTCATCTTGGAATAGGAAAATACAGGCAGACATCTTATTTATGATGAGTTGGAGGTGAATAGAAGGCAACATCATTTATTCCTGCCCTCCAGAAATGGTTGGTGGCCCAAAGTTATGTGAGGCAAATATGGCCAATGTCATCCCAAAATAATCCCAAGGGCAGGTTCTGTCACTAAAGAGAACGTAATCTAATGTCTGGTCTGCATGTCAGTCTCTTTAAAGTTAATGGTAGAGGACTTTCGCATTATCTTTATTGCATATTATTTTTCACATGCAAAACTTGTGGTCTTTCATTGATATATAAAAATATATCATTATATAATACATAATAATTCCAAATACATTTCCGTGGTATTTAAGCCATATTTTGCTTGAGCAAATGTATTAAACCATATTTGTTGTTTAAAAATGCTGCTTGATGCCCTTTTTACATTTTAAAAATTTGTTTATAAGGACATTCAAGATCAAGCAAACATTTCCATGATTGGAAGCCAGACATTACTATAAAAATAAATATCATTAATAAAATATGTTTTGTTATGACAGACCATTAGTGCATATTTTAAAGTATACTTTGTTCATCCCCCATATATTGCATACCTCTGTTACAACTGGGATAAGGAAATTAATACCAGGCTGTACTCAAAAGGAGAATTAATTGGTTATTGATTTATATAAATGTTATATTTTAAGGGCAATTGCTGATGTTAAAACTACTGGTTTGCTAAATTGAATCTGTTTATTGGACTCTGAAAAAAATTATTCTACTGCTTTATTGCACAGTAAAGGTATGGCAAACAGTGCTCCTTTAGTGAAAGTTGGGGTGGTGCTCCTTTGTGCACCTAAAGAAATAAATGAATTCATATATATATTAGGAAATTATATTATTTATTTTGTCTAATGTGTTATTAGGCTATTTTCCATGCTACACAGAAGTGAATAGAGAAAGCGCATTGAATGACTTAGATTAAGTATTGTATTTGTAAAACAGATGACTGTTTGGGAACATAAAAATGTAGATTGAAAAAGTAAAGGGTAAAAGCAGAGAATTTAATGTAATACCATGAAGGAAACCACAACTAATTTGTATTCATTTCCATAAAACATTTATTGGTCCAGTAAAGCACATAGTGGCCCTGAATCGACAAAGCTCTGACCAGAAATGAAAGGAAATAAATTCAAAAATTGATATATAATACTTATTTTTTATTTATTTATAAAAATTATTTGCTGCTCATCTCATATCCACCACTTAACAGTAATACTAGAAATCATTAGAATTTATTAGGTTTTCCTAATTGTGTGGTCCTGTTAGATATATCAGAATTTCTTTTACATTACATTTTACAGCAATCTTTCAACCTTGATTTATGTGTCATGAAGTCAGTGTTGACTCTTAGTGAGTACATAAATTTTCTCCAGGACAATCTGTCCCTAACCTGGTCCTTAAAAGACTTCCAGTGATGTGCCCATTGACAATATAACTGATTCTATCCACCTTGCCTTTGGCTTCTTTTCCTCTTTCCTTCCATTTTTTCCAGCATCAGAGCCTTTTTCAGAAAACTGGGTCTTTGCATAATGTGTCCAAAACAAGATAATATGAGCCTGCTAATTAGTGCCTCAAGTGAGAACTCTGATTTGATTTGGGTTTTTTGATAGATTTGTTTTCTTGGCTGTCCATGGTAATCTCATGGTATTCTCTCAATCCCAAATTTCAAATGTGTCAATATTCTTTCTATCGTGCTTCTTCAAAGTCTAACTTTCACTTCCATAGAGTATTACAGGGAATGCCATTGCTTGCACTAGTCTAATCTTTGTAGATTTAGAACACTGCATGCCATGTGAATGTCTTTTCCAAGGCCTTCACTGACTGCTGTACCAACTGCTGTACCAAGTGCTTCCCTGCGTTATTCCTTTTTTCTTGATGGTTGATCCTAAAAAGGCAGAAGATATCTATCACTTCAGTACCTTCATTATCAGATCCAAGGCTGGTTGTTGTATCTATTATCAGTTAGATTGTTCGTCTTTGTATTTCATGTTAATCCAATTTTTTCTTACTCCTTGATTTTCATTATTAGAGATTGCAGCTTTGTTGTATTTTTGGCTATCAAGGTAGTGTCGTCAGCATAGTGCCTGTTATTGATATTACTTCTTTTACATTTTAAAACCACACTCATCTTCTTCCAATCTACCTTCTCATAATATATACTCAGCATATAGGTTGAATAGATAAGGGGAAAATATATAGCAGTGATGGCAAACCTTTTAGAGACCGAGTGCCCAAACTGCAACCCAAAACCACTTATGCATTGTCGGGTGCTGGGTGGGTGTGGCCCATTGGCTGAGTGTGGCCCATTGGCTGGGTGTGCCCATTGGGTGGGCGTGGCTGTGGTGGTAATGGCAGACTGGGTGGGACTAAAAAGTTCAATCAATCAATTCCAACTTTGCAAGACTTTTTTTCCCCGCGAGAAGTTGAAATTGACTGATTGATTGAACCTTTTTTTTTTTGCACATGGCAGCAGAGGCCTAAACGAAAAGGTTTTATAAAACCCAGCTGAAGGCCTAGAACTGGGGCTACGGTGTGCGTGCCCACAGAGAGGGCTCTGAGTGCCGCCTCTGGCACCCGTGCCATTGGTTCACCACCACTGGTATGCAGTCTTGTTTCACTCTTGTGCCAAATGGAACTAGACTGTTTTACTATGATCTTTCTCTAATCAATGAAGCACATATGGACTTGTTTTTGATATTCTTTGGCTTTCTCAGTTACTAGGTACTTAGCGGGCATCAACAATAATGTCTTGTGTTCCCGAGTCTTTTCTAAAGGGACAATCAGTTTGAAATCTGAAGATGACTCTATCTACCAGGGAATTTTTCTAATAGATTTTGTTCTGATTTATTCTCTCAATATATATTGTTGTTGTTATAGTTGTTGTTGTTGTTGTTGTTGATGATGATGATGTTGATGATAATGATGATGATAAAGTTGGAAGGGACTTGGAGGTCATCTAGTCCAATCGCCTGCTCAGGCAGAAAACTCTATACCATTTCAGACAAATGGCTGTCCAGTCTCTTCTTAAAAACCTCCAGTATTGGAGCATTCACAGCTTCTGGAGACAGGTTGTTCCACTGATTAATTGTTCTAGGTTGCTTCTCTCTTTGGTTAGTTTCCATCTGTTGCTTCTTGTCTTGCCTTCAGGTGCTTTGGAGAATAGCTTGACTCCCTCTTCTTTGTGGCAATCCCTGAGATATTGGAATACTGCTATTATGTCACCCCTCATCCTTCTCTTCATTAAACTAGACATACCCAGTTCCAGCAACCCTTCTTTATATGTTTTAGCCTCCAATTCCTTAATCATCTTTGTTGCTCTTCTCTGTACTCTTTCTAGAGTCTCAACGTATTTTTTACATCGTGGTGACCAAAACTGAATGCAGTATTCCAAGTGTGGCCTTACCAAGGCATTTAACGTACCGTAGTTTACGCCTGCAGTTTTTAATTAATATCATAGAGACAAAAGCCCATCCTAGAAGGAAACAACATCTTACTTCCTATCACTCTTAGAAAAGCAGTTCTGAATGTACATCTTAAAATCTTTATAAAATATTATCCTGCCACATCTTAGAAAGAAATTTCATGCTAAGGGAAACTTTTATTTCTATAATTTTACATCTTTCCTAGTTTTATGTTGAGTGATAGTTCACCTTAGAACAACTTTACATTTCTTTTCTTCTCATCTCCTTGTCTCAGCTTTGAGATGGAACACTACTCTGTGACACTATCAATTCAGATAGTAAACATTAGAGATAAAATTAATCTGTGTGGGTTGAATCTCCATTAATAATTTGCTATTAATAGAGTCAAATAGTGTGCTCAAATTTGCCCAAGTCCTACAAGAAAATGAGCAGTGGTTTCAAGGTAACAAATTACATGGGCAAAGCTATTGCATTCTATGGAATTTTCTTATACCACTCTCTCAAGATAGCTGTAGGCAAAGCATTAAATTATTATAATATCATATCTTGTCTATAGTTTGATGTCTCAGTCGGTCTCATGTGTTGCAGGCGATGGTTGAGTACCCAAAGTGTGATCTACTGCCACATGGGATTTTGCTTCCTGACTTTCTATATATGTTATTCTCTACCTTATCTTGATAATGA